CGCTGAGCTCCATGTGGTGGAATTCTAGCCGCTTCTAAAACATCTCATTATGAGAAATTTTATTTTCTATTATCTTACGTTTTTGGCAGCATCGTCGTCTCTGAATCGCTGTGCTAATCCAGCGGCTACACCAGTTCTTGAATTGTTGGTAGACCCAGATAGATTTGATCCTCTATTTATTCTATCTTCGTACTGAAAAATCACGGTTAGCTACACTGAATTGAGGTACCCTGAATTTCGTGACGAGCCTGTCCAATAGTTTCTTGACTTCGGGCTGATCCCTCTCTGTGAGATCTGACATCTGAACTGGACTTGGCCAAATCATTCACACTCAAACGGGTTCCTGGTTTTAGACTGGCCTGTACTGCTCCATTCTTGGCTTGTCTGTAAGAGAATATTAGAACAATGAAATGCCAAGAACACCTACCCTTGCTCGAAATTCTGTAATTGAACTGCCCTGTCATGTTTTTCTTCGGATGCTCGAATATGATCCTTACGACATCGGCACATCCAGATGCATACGCAACAAATCGATAGAAAAAGGCAGACAAAAACAATTACTAGTATTGAGATTAACTGAAAAAAAGAAAATGTTTTTATTTGGTAACTCAAATCTAATCCCACAGTAATCCAGATCCAAACATCCCTAAATAACTTGCCTCTTGTGAGAGCTCCATTCAAACTGGAGCTATCTGGATCAGAAATGTGAAAAAAAGAATCCAAATTGAAAAATATGAAGCAAACGAATTTGTAGTCGTCGTCGCCGTGTCGTCGTTGTCTTCGGTCACCGGATAAAGATAGATCATCACCCGGGGATAACGACCAAGTGAGAGAGTGTGGAAGGCGAAGAGACGCCGAGATTTAGAGCTCTGAAGTCAGAAGGATTTGAGAAGAAATATGAGTGAGGTGACAAGAAAAGATGGATTTTAGGATTTTGAGGTTTTAAGAGATTCGAAAACGTGCTCACTGGGGAAGGAGAATTTTGTACATGCCCGTTGTTTTCAACTAAAAATAACAAGGGATCATCTTCCACATAGTCAGAAGAGAAATATCCGGAACATGGACCTTTTTTGGCATCGGAAATTTTCAAAATGGAACTCCTTTAATCGGGCGGGCCGATTCCGGGCCTGTACGGGGCCGCTGATAACTAGCTTACAAATTTGAATCGTGAACAAAACAATATACCAAATGATAGAGCTTTTCAAGCTCTACAAACTCCAATAAAAATCAACTAGTGTTCACATCAGTAACGGGGCGCGGGCCGACATTTAATAGCCAGGCCGGGCAAAAACCGTCGGCTCGGACCATAACACCGCTTTGGAAGCCTGTAGATCTGGTGAGATGTTTTGCTCACAAGTTTAATTTTGAATCGAGTTATCAGTCGGCCCGGAATCGGCCCGTCGACAGCTAGTGAGGCTAAAAAAAGAGCCACAATAGAGCCACAATATAACTTCACCCATAACTGAATGAGGATACAATTTCCTACATTTTCAGCTGCTTTTGGTTCAAAGCATAGAAAAATTGTCTTCAAATAGAGTTTCATTCACAGCATCAAAGATTCGAAAAATTGCGAAAAATGTTTCTGGATATCAACATCAAAATATGAAACCTACAAACTCGACGAAACGCAGACGAGAATAGACAAAAGGCTTTTCTCTTATTCTCTCTTTTTCCGAAAATTGACTTGGAAGAGAGCACACTCAGCCCCTCGCTTTTTTGTGCTCGGAATATTCGAGACTTGAAGAGGAAATTTCTATGGAAACGGGCAAAGGGAAGCAGAGAGTTTTCGAGTTTTGTGAATAAAAAAAAGAGTAGAGAGCATGTGATTTCTCATTCAAGCCTCAATTAGCATTGATGTTTTTTTTTGTGATAAACTTTCGAACTGTGTTTGTGTGAAGAAAAACTTATGACGAATTCTTTAGATTCGCTCGAAAAAATTTTCAGAGGTTGACACAAGATACAAACAAAGTTAGTTAGAACACCTGGGTTCTGAAAAGTTATAAGTTCCCAGAGCCAATTCTGAATATCAGAAAGCATACACAAATCCAGTTAATCTCAGCACTAATCCTAATAGAACAAGAAGTATCCATACTAATCTGAATATGCCGTTTTCTCAATTGCGTACACCATAAGTAGGTCAATGTCTTCCTGTTCCCATTATTCTTTCTCTTCTCAAGAGAGCTGCTAACTCGAATACCGATTAACTGCTCCACCAGTGAAAACGAAACGACAGGAAATGACTTTCCGAGTGTACAGAAAAATGGAGAACGAAAAAGAGCATGACTCAAGGTGGAGGAAGGTTTTCTAGATTTCAAGGCTCGAAAAATCGGTGGAGCAATTCAGAAAGTAGAACAACGGAAAACAAAGTCGGCATAATGAGACCAATAGGATCATGTTCTTTAAAGAACTGTATTTTGAACAAAGTGAACTCTTCCTAATGAATCATATTTTCTTGAATCAAGTATTGGAAACTACTGGTGTGATATCACAAGTCACTATGACAGGGAAATAGGGCAGTGTTCATAATAAATTAAGGAGCAAACTGACAGTAAGTAACTGTTGAATCATGAAAACTGTCAAAATAGAAAGAAATCCGGAACCGACACCAGGTGCCCTATAAACGAGGGATTGGGACTGACTTGACAGATGTTTAGCTACCAGCTGTCTCTCTCCATTCTTTTCTCCTTTTTTGAACGGTACCGAATGTCACTCAATTCATCAAACTTTCATTTCTCGGATCAAAAGAAGGGGGTATCAGAATATTTCACAGACGTTTCAATGAAGGAAAATGAGGAGAGAAATAAGAATAATGACCATGAGAATTTTGTGGGTGTTTTGAAACTATTACGACGCACAGCTTGAGAATACTGCAGCTGGTTTTTTTATTATTTCGGTTCCATTTTGCAGACCGACTGGACTGTTTTCGTAGAATTTTTGTATAGCATAAATCAGGAAAAAAGTAGAGAAAAAAGTCAGCTATTTCAAAGAATCAATTTTTTCAAATTGTTTCGAATAGATAGAGATGTGGGTCCATTGTTTGAACAGCTCAATTTTTAAAATAAAACTTTTCGAACATTCGCTAAGAATCGATTTATTTTAAATCCTGAAAAATAAATTGAGAACCAAACATTGACCGTATATAATGCGTTTATTGGTATCTATTACAGAAATCAACATACCGCAAACACTCTAATAGAAGCCCACCCAAAACGTCAGGCAAATAATTCGGAGGGTACAACAATTTTGGGGTCATTGGGGTACAAAGCAATTTAGGGGTACAAAACATAGAAAAAAAGTCTTAGTTTGTACCCCCGAATTGTGGATTTTGTACCCCTAAATCGGCTATATGACTAATTCTCTGTAAGAGATACCACAAAGTGCACGCTCTCCCACAGAACAATTCCGAACTGCAAATTAATTTTTGATCTACAGAAAAAAAGTTTGGCGCGATCACAATTGCAGGTCTAAAACCATAATTTCAGAATTTTTTATCTGATTTTGTGTAGTTCCAAGATGGTTCAAATAATTTTTTAAAAATTAATTAGTGGTTATAGATTCATGTATGGTCGTTTTCCGGAAGAAAAAATGTCAAAAATTGTCATTTTTGAAAGTTTTTTACAGAAAAAATCTATCTCCTCTTTTAGTTTTTGACATTTCTTGGAGTTCTATATCTCAAAAAAACCGCAATTATTTTCTCTACATTTTCTATGGACGAATTCTTAATTCGTCTGATAAAACTTTTTTATAATCAAAAAACAACTCAAAAATGCTATTTTGTGCAATTTCATGAGGTCTTTGAATTATAAAAAAAGTTTTATCAGACGAATTAAAAATTCGTCCATAGAAAATGTAGAGAAAATAATTGCGGTTTTTTTTGAGATATAGAACTCCTAGAAATGTCAAAAACTAAAAGAGGAGATAGATTTTTTCTGTAAAAAACTTTCAAAAATGACAATTTTTGACATTTTTTCTTCCGGAAAACGACCATACATGAATCTATAACCACTAATTATTTTTTTAAAAATCATTTGAGTCATCTTGGAACTCCATAAAATCGAAAAAATTCTGAAATTATGGTTTTAGACCTGCAATTGTGATCGCGCCAAACTTTTTTTTCTGTAGATCAAAAATTAATTTTCGGTTCGGAATTGTTCTGTGGGAGAGCGTGAAGTGGTCAACTATTGTCGAATTAAAAAAAAGTGACACCTGAAAATTTGAAAATCGTCGCATTTTTCGATCTACGAAAAAGCGCGGCAAAAACGTAATATTTCAGATTTTTGCCTCGTTCGAGCTACTTTCGCAATTAAGTTCATTTCTTTGATGAGAAACTGATTCAAAAGATGCTAGCGATCATTTTCATACCAAAAAGCCTACATTTTGTCCAGAAAATCCCACTAAATTCCCATAAATTAATTTGTTATCTACAGTATCCGTTTTGGGAGCGATGTCTCGTAAATCGACATGAGCGTTACCCGCGAAAATTTTCAGGACCCAGTTTGTTTAATCCGACAATAACAAAATATTTATCATGATTTCAAAAATGTTTTATCAGTTTACATATGTTTTATATCTCTTACAGAAATTGAGATAATTGACCTCGAAGTGCAAGTATACGCTGATCTACTATTAGAGTGTTTACGATAGCTAAAGTCAAACTATTTCCCACTGTCAGCAGGAATATGGGTTCTCTGAACTATCAACGACGTACAGAACAGCAAATATATAAGATTTGAAGTCTGGAATCCAGTATTCCAGGAACGGTAAAAACTGAACATACCGTAAACCCTGAAATCCAAGGGCCCCAACACTGTCAATTTTGAACTCGATTGCAAAGCAAGGTACCAAAAATCTGTCAATTAAGAAGCCCTTGTGATGTAATAAAAATCAATTCATCAGTTGACAACTATTTTATATCTTTCACACAAACAAGATAAAGAACTTAAAACTTAGGCTGCAAGTCTATCATAGGTTCTACGGTGGTTTGACTTCTCACAGAATTCTTTCAAAAACGAAAGAAGTTTTGAAAGCCACTGCTTCTTTTTTCTGAAGAGCGAATTTTTCGACTTCTCAAAATTTTCCCTTGGTTTCCATAGCATTCAAGAACTGATAATTATGACCAGAGCCCACTTTGAACCCCTTCATTCCTATATGTACTTTTTATTCAACTTGCTTCTTTTCATCTGAGAAATAGTGAGAAAATGATAATTAAGCAACAGATGTTTTTCAGGGGAAGAAGAATGAGCAGATGTTTTGAGCGTAAAAGTTTGTAGGCGGGAATATGGATCAAAGAGTTCATAAAAGTTCAGTTTTTTGATGCAAAGCTTCCACTCAAAACGTTAAAAAATAAATCATATTGATAAATTGTGACATTTTCGATTGATTGTTAAATTTTTTAACTCTGCAATGTTCATACTTGAAGCTGAAAAAATGATATTGTTCGCTTCTTTTTCTTATTAAAATGATATTCTGATACAAAAAAATAGAGTAGAGGAAGAGAAAGACTGGTGGCCGTGGCCGAAGGTCTTACAACGAAAACTACCGCAACCATAAAATAGTATTTTCCGGATTTATTTTCTCGATTTTCCTGAGTTTTCAGTCAACTATTTGCCCAACAAAAACTTTTTGAAATATTTTCTGATTGTTTGGGAGAAAACAACAGAAAAAATCGACAGAAAGCAGTGAAAAACGGGAAAATAAACTCTGAAAAAAATAGTGGTTACTGTAGCTGAAGATCTGGGGTTTTCGGCCACGGCCACCGACGTTTCTCTTCCACAGCGCCAATGTTCCGTACCAGTAAAGTAACCTGGATTTCAAACTTTTCTTTAACACTCTGTAATTTGTTTTTATTTTACTCGGCTAATAGTCATATCCTTCTCTCTCTTGCTTGTCTCCAACACATTTCATTTCACTATACTAATTCCGAAATTTCGGATTTCACTTGAGAGACCTCTGGGCGGTTTCCATTGACAACCACCTCGTATATATGTGATAATAAGAAAAGGAAATATTTGTACCAAAAGAGACGAAGACAATCAATTTTCTCTGATTCTCGTGCATTCCAACTGTGTTTTCGTTGGTCCTATTCTACTCAGCCCCCTTTTTCTTCTCTCTTCCTGCTATAGCAGGTGATTACTCTTCCTCTCGCAGTCATGGAGATGTGCTCCGTGAAGAAAGAACTCACTGCTCACGTAAAGAGCTTCAAGAGCCCCACTCTCTCGTTTTGTCGAAATATTTCTATAGTCGCTGTATTGACGTCACAAACGGATTTTCGACTCAAGACTCTCTTTACCGGTATTTTGAGAACGAAAGCGGATCAAAATCTTGAGCAGGTCCATAACTTTGATTAAAGTCGAAAGATTAACCACATACATTTACGTAAGCATTCTTCTGTAAGAAACTTATCCCCGGCTCTTGATGACCCGAAATCCGATATTTGGAGCCAAAAACAGGGATGTTTAAACTTTCTCTAGATACATATAAATATATTTGAAATGGTCCGGAGATGAGAGACAAGTCTGAACAGGCAATGAACATAGGATTTTACGGTATCCAAGTCGTTTGTTTGAAATCTTCTAACAGTGACTGAGAATTACTCAACATTTTAACACACTTCTCCGTGCTCATAAGTTCTCATCCTTCTGAATAACCTCGATTCTAGGTGTCTATCTAGGCTCCGCCCACTATTTCATTCTAATCCATTCACTCTTGAGATGCATTACCGATACTGCTACTTGTCGATTCAGACTCTCTTGTGACATATTATATTATGAAGTACATATTCATAAGTTGGTAGGTGAACAAGTTCGAGTGGTGATACGGAAATTCATCGATTCTAAACACTTTACAAAATTTCCATAAATTTGTATGATGATATACACGCTAAAGGAATTGGGATTATGCAAATTGAACCATCCAATGAGTACTGTAGCATATTTAGGCTCCGCCCACTTGGATTTACGTATAAAAGGCAGGATGAGCAACCTGTTATTCACAGTTTTCAGTTATTCGTTCTACGCAGTCTAGTACAAAGTTTCTACCATAATAATGTAAGTTTCTCAATTCAAGATTTCGGATCTCCGTAGTTTTGACCATTTTATCCAACCTAATAATGTGATAAATGCATCTTAACTGCGGTGATCTGGATTTTGTGAACCGTTTTTTTTCACCTTTAAAAATTTAGATTCATTCTAAAATAACAGAATAATAACAGAAAACAGCATAACAAAAGTTACATAAAACGAAGGTAAGGAAGAGAATGATGAGGTACTTCGAATGGCGACCCGAGCATCAGAAGTGAGGACATCGTCAATTCGAAGTATTCGACCCGGTGTATGATTGCAGGAATCTTCAATCGAAAGAAGAGAACACATAAGAGAGTAGATATCGAATAGTTGAATTGGTCCTTTTCGATATCCAACACGAAATGCTGAAAACAAGAATATATAATGATGTAATCCTCCAAAATTAGATTAGATGTATTATTTGAGAACTTTAGATGGCAGGAGTCAAACGAATCTGTTCAATAAACTCTTCCATCCTTTGTGGATCCAACATTTTATCTCTCGAAAATTCTGGAAAATCTGAAAATATTGATTCGTTTATAACAAAAATACAAAGAAAACGGAAAAATAGTTATCAAAAGTGTGGGAAAGTGTAGTGTCTCTCTTATGGAATTCTTCAAGAGTTTTTCGTCTATTCGTTTTGGATGAAGGAGTGGAAAAAGGAGTGTCCTAACCCTTCTTCCAAACACATGCATGCGCAAAAAAAGTAAAAAGTTTCAGGCCCTAAAAAAGCAAACACTAGAAAAAGCTTGAACTTGTCTCGGCAGCTGGAGACCCATGTTTGTTTGTATTATATTTGTTCTCACATCATATCGCGTTTCGTTTTTGCGCACAAGTTGTCTTCTAAATTGTATAATGCTTGAATAGAATAGGGTACCAGCAACTGATACGGATTTAGGTGGAATTTAGTATATGTTCTCGGAAGAAATGTTCAGTTCTCGGAGGAATTGAAAGTATGAGACCGTAAAACCTGTAATGCAAGAAACACCTAACTCTTAACTTCAGCAAATTTTTCTTGACCAAAAGTGGTCAATTGTTTATTATTGTATCAAGTGCTTTGTCCGCTGACGGTGGGTTTGAAGAAGTTCATAGAACCCTAAATTCGTCGAATCGGGAACTACTGTTCGTTATGAAGGTTTTCGAAATTATCTCATTTTGCTCTGTCAACAAGCTGTCAAAAAAATATAACCTGGACCAAGCAGCTCTCAAAAAACGTCCTGTGCTTGTCGACGAGAACCATTGAAAGCTGATGCCTTTTTGTGAACTTGGTTGTTTATTCTTAAAAGTGGGGAAATATTGGCTACCATATTTTCACTGATATTAGGTTGGCGGGAAAGTCTTTGTCACTCTGTTTGTTTAATCACTGTTCTCGTATATGGAGGCTGTGTATGATATCGACTCTAGTGAATAACAAGGTGATAAGAACCTTCCATATAAACAAGTCCCCATTTCCTTCCCTGCTCCTCATCTGTAATTGAAACGATATGTTTGTTCCCACTGCTATTCACATCAGACATGTTTTGATTTACCTCTTCCTAGCTCACACCACGATGAAGGATTCGGAAACTTTCTTGAAGAATGTGTACAACACACATGCCCCTCACTACAATACTATTCGCAATTGGTTCCATCGTTTCGAAAAAGATGACTTCTCGCTCGATGAAAAGGGTCGCTCTGGGAGACCCCGTGAGTTGGATTTGGACAAGCTGAAGCACGCATTGCAATCGGATCCATTTCAATCTAGCCGTGAACTAGCTGTCACATTCGGAGTTCACCATAGCACAGTCCTTGAAGGTTTGAAGTCTCTTGGAATGAGAAAACTTTTTGGTCGATTCATACCTCATCACCTGACTCAAGCCAACCTTGACCGCCGAGTCGACGATTCGATTACTCTTCTCACTCTCCACGCGGGCGATCGATGGCTGGACCGGCTAATAACCGGAGATGAGAAGTGGGTCTTCTACGATAATCACCACAGGAAATCCCAGTGGGTTGGAGAAGGAGAGAGCCCACAGGATGTCCCCAAACCCGACCTTCATCCGAAAAAAGTTATGCTCTCTGTGTGGTGGGGAGTGGACGGCCCCATCTACTGGGAACTTCTGCCCGAGGGCAAAACAATAACTGGAGACCTCTACACTACTCAACTACGAAACCTCAAGAAAGCAGTCGACCGTTCGGCCCTGAAAGACAA